ATCATCCTAAGTCCAAAACTACCCCGAACACCTCCGAAAACACTCCCGAGCCCTCGGGGCTCCTAACCAATCACACACACTAACTCAACAACATCCTACGAACTTAACCGTGCGGTCAAATCACCAAAATAACATCAAAAACGAGGAATCAAACCTCAAAATCATCACTTCTTCATCAAACTTCATAAATTTTCATTTTTAGATATTTAGGTCCGAAACACGTCAAATGACGTCCGATTTCAACCAAATTTCACAGAAAGTGCTTAAACCACATATAAGACCTGTACCGGGCGCCGGAACCAAAATACGGGCCCGATTCCAACACGTTCTAATCAATTTTCCTTTTCAAATTTCCATATTAATTTCAGAAAAATAATTTCACAGAAAAATTCATTTCTCGGGCTCTAGGACCTCGGAATTCAACTACTGGGCATATGCCCGAGTCTCATATTTTTCTACGGACCCCTTCCGGGACCGTCCAATCACCGGGTCTTGGGTCCGTTTACCCAAATGTTGACCACAGTCAACTTTTAATCATATTAATACCAAAATTCATCATTTTCACATAGAATTCATATTTAAGCTTTACCAGCTAACGCGCCCGGAACTGTGCAACGCAAATCGAGGCAACTGAAAATGAGGTTTTCAAGGCCTCGGAAGCATGGAGTGAATGAGAAAATAGGTGATGACCCTTTGGGTGCCCAACTCTCGCTGAACTGCTCTCCAGAAGCGCGAGGTAAACGGCGTACCCCGGTCCGGAAATGATAGATACCGGCACCCCATGAAGGTGAACAATCTATCTGATGTAGATCTCAGCTAACCTCTCGGATGAATAAGTGGTTGCAACAGGAACAAAATGCGCTGACTTAGGTCAGCCTATCAACAATGACCCAAATCGCATCAAACTTTCTTCCGGGTCNACGATTTGAAGAATATAAAAACTTCATCGTTTTTTCTGTAAAACAGTATTTAAAAACTTCAGTTATTTTTATTACGTACAGTTTATTAATTACAGTATTATTTACTATTTTGGTTTTGCCATTAATTGATCTCTTCTGTTGTTCACTGTAAGAAATGGCAAACGAGAATGGAATTCCTTCTGCGACTGTTGGTGCAAACGACGATAGCCTCGTCAAGCCGCACTGCTGTTCCTCCGGCCGAGAAACCGGGAAAGTCGTAATGTTTGGATACAATTGTTTAGTAAACAATGACATGCGAGATTTGACTAAATAATATTGTCAAATGGTTTCAAAAATTAATGAGTGTAAACAAATATATTTACGTTAAGAATACTTCAAATCATATAGTCATTATTTGATTATATATGATATGTTGATGAAATATTTAAAATGTGGGAGCTTTTAGCTTATGCATGACAAAAGTCAATGTTAGACGTAATGTCTAAATTATATAACTTTTGAACTCCATTGATATAGTAGTTGGTAAAATCATCAGTTGTTTAGTCTTAATAAAGACTAGTTGATGAAACTACTAATTCGGAAGTTGGTCACATGCCTTTCTCGAAAGGTCATTTTCTTTAATGAAAATTTATATTGTTTAGTTCTTTTATGAAATGATGTCACTTTGAAGGTTGTGACTTTTCATAGAAAGATACGTCTGTATAGACATGACCGTTCATGAACGAATATATTAATACGTTGGTCTATAATGAGGTGAACTAACCGATGAACATGACCAAAATTCATTGCAAGTTGGATTTGTTTCATGAATGGAGGTGCTATAATTTGCATATCATATAGACATATGAATGAATAACATACAAATGCTTGAAAATGGCAGAATGATTACGAAATGTATTATATATTAAAAGGTTGTGGCCACAACTGATGCCAATCATTCCAGCTGTTGTTATAATTACTACATTAAGTGTAGTCAATAATCTGATATGCAATCAAAAATCGAGACGTATTAGTCTACAACATAAGGAAGTTTGCATTGAACGTTCATGACAATGGAACGAGTTTTGAAGTATTTGAAATATACTCCAAATTATGCTTTGCACTACAATAAGTATCCCACGATAATAGAGGGGTATAGTGATGCAAATTAGATCACCGGTTCAACCGATTCTAAACAGTCGGTGGATGAGCAATGTCTTGGAAATCGTCCAAACAAATGTGCATTGACCGCTCTACAGTGGAGGCTGAGTTTATAGCCTTAGACAAGGCCGGTGAGGAAGCTGAATGGCTCCGGAATTTCTTGGAAAATATTCCATTTTGGCCCAAACCTTTGGCACCTATATGTATACATTGTGATAGTCAAGCGGCAATAGGTAGGGCAGGGAGCGTTATGTATAACGGAAAATCTCGTCATATTCGACGGAGACACAATACCGTTAGACAACTACTCTCTAGTGGTGTTATCACAATTGACTACGTAAAGTTAAGAGATAACGTGTCGGATCCACTTACAAAAGGCCTATCTAGAGAGGCGGTTGAAAGATCATCGAAGGGAATGGGGCTAAGGCCTAGGACAAGTAATCATGGCGGTAACTCTACCTAGCAGACTGGAGATCCCACGAGCTAAGTTCAAAGAGATCAAACAAAGTTATGAATGACGGTTCAACATTGTCAAATAACTCAACCCATTCTCGTGATGAAGAGAATGTTCAAAAACGAGGTAAAGCATTAATGCTTTTTTGATGAGTCAATAAAGCTTAAAGCTTTTTAATGATTTGCTAAGTCTGGCAGGATATGACCAGATAGTGTGTCTTTAGGATTACACGCTTAGGAATCACCTATGTTAGTGTGAAGTGTAAGCCGCTTCAAGGAGAATGAAAGTAAAGGCCCATTCTCTAAGTACTCATGAAACCAGGCGGTATTCATGGCTGAAACAAACACAACCGTGAGAACCATAGATGGTTAAGGATTGATTGTGTGACTTATGTTGTCTAGGTATACAACAAAGCTCGACGGTTCAAAGATATCAAATCTACCGATTGATCGAGTATATCCGATATAAGTTCACTACGGAAAGCTCAAAGGAAAACCTACTTATCCAGATGCAATTAATTCTTGCTTGTAAAACACACACACGTCCGTGCATTCCTTTGAGTTTATAGCCATTCCCCATTCATGTGGGGGATTATTGGGTTTGTTATTTAATAAATAATAACAAAAGAGGTGTGAATAGAAAACGGTGGGAAAAGAAAGGGAGGGATGACCCGCGACCCGGTCCGGTCTAGCCCGTTTTTCTTTCCCGGATTAATTTAAATTCGTTTTAGATTTCCCGCAAAAAATTTCCAACAGCCATAACTGTTCTGAAAGGTTGCAAACCTCTTCAGAGGGTCACACCTATTCCAACAGCCATGACTGTTTTGAAACGTTGCAAACCTCTTCAGAGGGTCACACCTGTTCCAACAGTCATGACTATTCTGAAAGGTTGCAAACCTCTTCAGAAACATCACCAAGTTGACTATAAATAGACATTCAAATCCCAGAATACTTACTTACGAAATTTTCTGAATCTTCTTCTTCTTCTTCCGCACAAAATATTCCAGTGTGTTTTACGACCATCGAGTGGTTCGCCGATCACCAGAGTTTTAGGTACCGATACACTGGTGAGTTAAATCGTTCTATCCTGGGAGGATATATTCCATAACCTCGGGTACTTGAGGGGAATAATTTCCTTAAGGACACACTGTGTATTCAGTGGGCTCGATTTGTTCCTATAACGTTTTTCCAGAATTTATTTTGAAGAAGTTTACTGTTTTCGGAATTTAATTTCTACTAACTTTCTGTTTCTGTTTTCAGAAAGATTATTATTTAATTTACAGCAATACAGATAAGTAACACAATCTTCAAGAACTATTATAAGAGGAGAATAGTCGATAAAGATACTAAATCAAAGTGATAACCTATTAAAAAGTCACATGTTAAATTTTGGACAATATTAATTGGCAACATAACAAAATTGGGTATAAATTAATTTTTGAATTCACTGTAACTATTTATTAATCTAAATTAAAAGATAAAATATTCGAGTCAAGAGTCGTTAGTTTTTGAATTTTAATAAAAAAAATATTCATTAGCAAATTAACCCATGTTGTTCATGGATAACAATAAGCTTTTTGTTTCATAAAATAAAACTCTATTTNATAAAAATAAAACTCTATTTTCTAGAATAATGAGAATAATTTTTTGAAAAATAGTTATTTTGTCTTCAACACATTCTTTTTCTAAACACGTATTTCTGGGAACAAAAAATATAAGAAAAGGATCTACATATGGGTTAAAAAAAATAATGGTGTAGATCTTTTACTATCAAGAACTTCTAATATTTATGTTTTTAGAATAGTTCAATATTACATTTTGAATAAAATATGGCATCGTAGAGTTTATCTATTGGTATACTGAAATAAATTAAGAAGGTAGTTTAATTTTGTTAAAGCAATATAATATAATTATTTGCGTCAAGTTAAGGAGACAGCCTTTTTCTTTAGAAGGCAAAAAACAAAAGAAGGGAAGGTTCCACCGAGATTTGAACTCGGGTTACTGGATTCAGAGTCCAATGTCCTGACCACTAGACCATGGAACCATGTTGCTTCTTAACTTGGACATAAATCTATTTATTATTAATATGAAATTCACTAGAGAAGAAATGCTTGGTAATTCACTACATATTGCAAGCGAGGACTATATAATACTTCCTCTTTCTAGTTTATATTTCCTTGTTGGTTTCTTTCAATACTAATTGCCACATTTTTATATCAAAAAATATTTAGTTTTAAATTTTTATATTATTATATTTTATTAGAAGTTTTTAAGGTTATATAAAATATTGTGATATATTTAAGGTTATAAGTTTGAAATATAATATAAAAATATTTAAGATTATAAGTTTTTTTTATTTTGACTGCGTCAACTACCATCACATTTTATGTGAAAAGGAAGAAGAATAAATATTTCGAATTAATTTGACAACTTTACATAGTTTCCAAGTAGAACACAGAAACGGGGACGAACAAATCAAAATCAACACAAGCAGGTTCCACAATTATAAGTCAAAACAAAATTGCTTCACACTCGAACTCTTTTCTCAGGAGCAACAAATCAATAAAACTCAGGTTTGATTCTTCTTTTACACTCCATATCAACGGCTGAGAGAGAGAGACACAGAAACCCGAAATAGAAGAGGAGAGGCTGTGTCCCTCTTTTGTTTTGTTACACTGTAAACTACTGGTCCCTTCATTCATTAGCCTTTAAACCCTGACAATATTTTTTGTAAGTTTTCCCTTTCTTTGGTTTGGTGAGTTGTGTTGGTGATTTATTAGGGTTATGCTGAAAACTGAAACTTAACCAAGAAAAACATGAAAACGGTGTCCTATGTGTAGGTTTGAGAGTTAAGAATGTTTACGCAAGAAGAGCAGATGCAGAGGAATTGGGATGGCCAGCAGCAAATTATGGTACCATTTGCAGAAAATGTAGTAGTTGCTAATGCTGCTGCTGGTGTTATAGGTTCTAAGAAAAGAGGAAGACCACCAAAGGGTTTAAAAGAAAAAGGAAGACCAAAGGGTTCTTCTAAAATTAAGAGGGAAAATGTTGACGAAAATGTGGGAATTACAGTTAGTGGCATGATGGATGTGAGTGGACAAGAGGTAGTTATGAATAAGAAGAAGAAACGAATAGGCAGACCAAAGGGTTCTAAGAATAAGAAGAGAAAGGTTGGAGAAAATGGGGAAGAATTGCCAATTGCAGTTGACTTAGTTAATGGCTGTGGGGACATTCTTATCAAGAAGAAGAATGTAGGGGGAAGGCCCAAGGGTTCTAAGAACAGAAATATAAATTTTGAACGAAACAAAGAAGGGATTGTCAAAAAGGCACATCAGGGAACGTCAAAGGGTTCAAATAATCAGAAGAAAAATGTTACCAGTGATGAAATGGAAATAATGTTACCAATAGGTGATACTTGTCTTGAAAAGAGTAATGCTGAGATTATTGTTGCAAACAAAATGTCTAAAACTGACATTGTTGCAGCTGGTGATTTTGGGATAAGTGTAAACCAAGTTGCTGGACACAATGAGATAGTCAAGAAGAAAGCTGGTCGGCCCAAGGGTTCTAAGAATAAGAAGAAAGATGGTCGGCCCAAGGGTTCCGAGAATAAGAAGAAAGTTGGTCGGCCCAAGGGTTCCAAGAACAAGAAGAAAGTCTTGATTGGTCTTCTGACTGTTGGCCATTGGAATGGAGGTGGAGGCAAAGAACATGTAGTCAAGCAAGGCCAGTGTAGGGGTTCAAAGACTAAGAAGGAAATCACATTAGGCTATTTGAGTAATGCTAATGCTACTACTGGAGATGAAGTAGATGTTATGCGCCAGGACGCGAGGAAGAAAAGAATCACTATGGCTGGTCAAAGTGGAGTAATTCTGAATGAGGAAGAAGGGATGATAGTCAAGAAGAAGGATGGGCGCGGCAGACCCAAGAAGGCTTCAAAGACCAAGGACAAACATATACTAGGCCGTTCAAGGGATATTAATACTAATAATGGATTTGGATACATGGATGCAGTCAGGAAGGAAGATAATGAAAAGAATTTCTTTTTAGCTGTGGGTAATGGAGACAGGATATTCAAGAAGAAGAGGCGTGGTCGGCCCAAGAGCTCAAAAAATAAGAAGAGAAGTACTGGTGGTAATTTCATTGATGCTAATCTTAATAATCGAGGACAAGATGTGGGTACTACGAGGATAGATGTGGTTGAAAAGGGAATTCTTTTAACTGAAGAAAATAGGGGAGACCTGAATGAAGTTGCTTTTGGTTCTGCAGTTAGAGTTGTCAGGAGGAAGGGTGTCCTTGGACGGCCAAAGGGTTCAAAGAATAAAAAGAAAACTATTACAAGCAACTCCAGCGTTGTTTATTCTGGTAATGGAGTTGGAGCAACGAATACCTGGAAGGAACACGAGGATAAAATGGCGAGCCTGGCAACTGACCGCATGGAGATTCTGAGTGAAGTTACTATAGCTAAGAAGGATAGCTGCAGCCTGCCCCATGGCTTACATAACGAGAATAAGATTGGTGAATCTGACAAAGCTAATACTGTTAACTTCATTCCTTGTGAAAATGGGGTTTCTGAGCGGAAGGGTAGGCGAGGGAGGCCAAAGGGCTTGAAAAACAAAAAGAAAGTAGTATTTGATGCTGTAGAAATTCAGGGAATGACAGGTGAAATTGCTGTTGATACTAATGGGGTAAATTTGAGCATCAAGCGAAAGAATAGACCTGGACGACCCAAAGGTTCAACAAATAAGAAATCAAAAAATAAGAGTGAAGAAAATAATAAAACTGCAGTAGCACTTATAATGCATGATAACAGAGGAGGTAGTCAAGCTGGGCAGAAAGTGAAATCTTGTGGCCTGCTTCCTGTTGCCACCAAAAATGGGGGAATATCAGGTGAACCTACTTTGTTGGATGCTGAGGGAGGCAGGGTCATTAAGAGGAGAGTTGGCAGAGGGAGACCAAAAGGTTCAAAGAACAAGAAAAAGTTAGGAGCTTTCGATATGGGATTGCCTTGTCAAGTTAGTTGTCAGAATGCTACTAGTAGGATGGTTAAGCGCAGAGGGAGGCCAAAGGGATTAAATGATAAGAAGAAAATTGCTATTGTCCCTGCATGCATGGGAGAGCAGGAACTTAGCACATATGCAGAAATAAATGGACTGACACCGCCAGGAGTATTGGTCAGGATCCCTTCTTGTCGAACATATATTGTCTTTTTGTTATGATTTGTATGGATATTTATATGTAAAAAATAGAAGCTAAAAAGTCAAATATAGATGTAAGTTAAGAGCTGCAAACTGAAGTTATAGTTCATCAAAATTTGTTGATTGTATCATTGCAATTAGAGGCCTAGGAAAGTTTTTGGGGTACCATAGCCAACTACAACAACAACAACAACAACTACCCAGTAAAATCCCACCAAGTGGGGTCTGGTGAGGGTAATGTGTACGCAGACCTTACCCCTACCCCGATAGGGCAGAGAGGCTGTTTCCGATAGACCCTCGGCTCAGAAAGATGGAAATAAGAAAAACAAGAAAAGACAATTCATTAGTAACTCCAGTAGAAATCGTAATAGTAACAGAAGCATAACAATCAAAAGATGGATGACATGCAATAACAGTAACCAGGCCCGGGGCTCAGATAAACAGCAAGTATAGTGTGTATTCAACATAAACTGCAAGCCATCTAAGGCCAACCCTAATCCAACCCCGCCTCACCCCCAGAAAAGGGTACCATAGCCAACTATATACAACAAACTGCCTCCTGCCATTTATGAAAGTGGCTCGTCTTCCATCCAATTTTTTGTCATGGTTAGATTCATTCGGGGCAAGAGATAGATCAGAGGAAACAATTTTCATTATTGATGGTCCATGCTTGTATAGTGAAGCTGACAATGGATACAGCTGACATATCAAAACAGAGACCAACTTCCTTAGGAAAGTGGGGCTAATCTTTTTTCCTTTTGCATACTCATTAGCCTTCTGATACTGATATCTAGCATATAATTCTCAATCCAACTTTTGTTAATGTTCAATTTCTCAAATAAGTGATATCTCACACTGTTCAAGGAGTTTAAAAAGTTGCTCTTGTCTTCCATCCAACTTTTTGTCATGGTTAGATTCATTCGGGGCAAGTGATAGATCAGAGGAAACAGTTCTCATTATTGATGGTCCATGCTTGCATAGTGAAGCCGACAATAGGTACAGCTGGACATATCTAAACAGAGACCAACCTCCTTAGGAAAGTGGGGCTAATCTTTTTTCCTTTTGCATACTCATTAGCCTTCTGATACTGATATCTAGCATATAATCCTCAATTCAACTTTTGTTAATGTTCGATTTCTCAAATAAGTGATATCTCACACTGTTCAAGGAGTTAAAAAAGTTGGAACTATTGTATAGGTCCATTTGGCACAGATGGTCGTTATAATAATTTGAACCTGAGTCTGAACAGGAAAGCTTCTTTTATACTTTTGAAGCATAAAATGAGTATGCTCCTGGAAAGGGGATTGGAGTGCCACTAAGTTATTTTCATTGATTTTAGTAGGCAAATTTGGAATAGTATCACAGGCATAGCATGTGGCTTATATTTGAAATTGTGTCCTAATGAGGTATTTATATGTAGGACACTATCAGTTGGAAGGATCAGCAGACTTTTAACTGTCATCAATGCAAACGTTATAAAGCTTCTGTTGTCTTCTGTTCAAGATGCAAAAGAAAACGCTATTGCAACGATTGTATTGCAAAGTGGTAATGAAATTAATCTCCTTTGTTCACTACCTAAAAGAGAAAGGATTCTAGATTTGTTGGTCTGAAAGTTGTTTTTTTCCCTCATTGGTGAATGGTAGAGGCTTTTTGTTGTTATAACAGTTTAAACTATGTGAATTCTGATTGAGTTTCCTATTTTCTAAAATGTCATGATAATCAACAGGTATCCAGAGAGAACAAAAGATGAAGTAGAGCATGCATGCCCTTTCTGTTGCAGGAATTGCAATTGCGGAGCTTGTCTCCAAACAGATGTCTTTTTAAAGGTCTGTGCACAAGTTATTTTTATTTCTTGTATGATCGTGTATTTATAGTGCAGGTGCTGATATTATGAAATAACTTAGCTGTAATTTCTATTGATAAATCAAATGATTATCCTTCATGCAACACGCCAATTTGGTGTGAAAATAACTTGGTTGTTAGGATTACAGGACTGCTGCAAACAAACTGATGAAAAGACAAGACTGGAGGGTTCACTTTATTTGCTTTTCAACATTCTGCCCCTTCTCAGGCATATTCAAAGGGAGCAAAGATCTGAGCTAGATGTTGAAGCAAACATCCGTGGTACTATTTAGTTCTCTCGAATAATTTCAAGTTTGCTTGTGGTTGATGACACAGAATGTTCAATGATGTTTTTGGTCCTCCGTTGTTTTCAGGTGTTCAGCTGACAGAAGAAGACGTTACCAAATCACTCATTGATGATGATGATCGAGTATATTGGTATGGTCCCCCACCATAATAGATTTCTTGAAGCTCTGTCTATGCTCAGAAACCAAGTGTAATTTATATATGGTGTAAATAAATCTATTGGGATAATTTCTTATGTTTAGCAGAGGATGCAAGTTGTTTCTTCATGGGAATGAACAGTGTGATTTGATTGTTCAAATATTTTTCTGTTAAAATAACACTTTGTTTCTGATCTTTTCTCTAAACCAGCAGCCTTTGCTTACATGATCCGTTTCTTGAAGCTGCCTTGTTCATGCCTCGTGATCATTTTACCTCCTACTTTGATACCAAGGGTTTCTCTGTCCTTTTGATTAAGAACAGTAATTGTCTGCGGTTAATTATATAAAGAGAAGTAGTTTGTCTGCGGTTGCTTAAAGTTTCAGCAATATGCTTTTATTAGTTTGGGATGTATTTTTTGTTAACCATGTTCTTTGTCTTTGTTTATTTATTCTGGAAGAAAGGATGTAAGCTTACACAGAAAATGTTTACTATTTCCAGAGCTCAGTTTTGTCATGACACAATAGCTGTAATGATGCATGGTTCCTTATTTGGCAGTGATAATTGCAACACATCCATTGTCAATTTCCATAGAAGCTGCCCTAATCCCGATTGCTCTTTTGAAATCTGTATCAATTGTTGTCGGGAACTCAGAGATGGTGCCCCACGTGGAGCTACTGAAGCCAGCTCATATCTCAGCAAGTCTGTGGAAGCTAGTCATACTGCAGCTTTGAAGGGAAACGTTCCTTCAGATGATTGGAGAAGTCCAGAGGCCCTCCTTGCTAATGGTTGTCCAAATCACATGCTCTCCGATGTTGCTGAATGGAGAGCCAAATCTGATGGCAGTATACCTTGTCCTCCTAAAGAGCGTGGTGGTTGTGGCTCTTCATTAATGGCTCTAAGGCGTATCTTTGAAGCAAATTGGGTTGACCAACTAATTCAAAGTGCTGAGGCCCTAACATGCAATTACCACCTTCCAGATATGGATTTATCACATGGGTGTTCAATTTGTCTTGCTACCACTTCTGTCCAAAACGGTGATAACCACTGTCAAGTAAGACAAGCATCTTTTAGGAATAACAGCCACGATAATTCTCTGTACTGTCCTAATGCTGTTCATATTGGTGGTAATGACTTTGACCATTTTCAAATGCATTGGAGGGCTGGTGAACCTGTAATAGTTAGAAATGCACAAGCTAAGGCCTCTGGTCTTAGCTGGGAGCCAATGGTAATGTGGAGGGCCTTCAGAAACGCAAGGAAAAAGCTGAACGAGGAGACTTTCTCTGTCAAGTCCATTGATTGCTTGGATTGGTGTCAGGTATGCATTTGATTTGTGTAAATTACCCTTTAGGGAAAAAGGAGACAGAGTCTCATCATTTGAGTTCCAAGTTGTCTCATGCATCCTCAATTTTCGTCCTAAAGTCTACTGTATATAAGTAGCTAATTGCCTTTCTGTAATTTTATTGCCGTCAAATTTCATTGCACTGTGTATCATGGCTTCTTTTTAATATTAACTCCACAGACTGAATGCCATTGAACCTTTTTTCCATCAAAAATGAATTTTAATCTGGGAGATTATTTTTTGCATGATTTTTCCTCAGCATCTCCTAGTTGATCTCTTGTGTTTTTACTGTAGCTGACAAAACTACAGTTTTCTATTACATGATTAGAGTTGGAAAATTATCCAAACAAAAACGAAGTCTAGAATTGACAATTAAGGGTGTGTTTGGTATCTTGAAAATAGTTTTCTGGAAAATGAGTAGTTTTATCACTTATTTTTTCATGTTTGGTTGGTGAGTGGAAAACTCTTTCCGGAAAATATTTTTTAGTGTTTGGTTAGCGAGTAAAAAATATTTTTTGAAAAATATATAATTTAGGCAAACACTATTAAGTGGAGGTGGAGAGGGGGGGGGGGGGTTGGGGGTATGGTGAGTGGGGCAGGTGGGTGCTGGGCGAGAGGGGTGGTGGGTGGTGGCTAGGTTTGATGGGGTAGGGAATGGGGTGGAGAAGGATGAAAAAGAAGTTTGGAAAATGTTATCCCTCCTTTTGGTAGGGAAAACATTTTCCTCCAATTGGAGGAAAATGAGTTCATGGGAAAAATGTTTTCCAAAATATTTAAGCCAACCACAACAGCAACAAACCCATGTTTAAGCCAACCAAACATGGAAGATTGGAAAACATTTTCCAGAAAATGTTTTCCTTCGTACCAAACACGCCCTACATTTCGTGGTAGATTGTTGCTAACCTGCTATATTGGTTTGTCTTTGTTATTTTCACCTTACAACGATCATGATGTGCTGGTTAACTGAAAATGAATCTACGGTTGTTATTACTATCATTATTATTGTCATTATTATTATATGATGCAGGTTGAGATAAATATTCATCAGTTCTTCAAGGGCTACTTAGAGGGTCGTTGGCATCGCAGTGGGTGGCCAGAAATATTAAAACTGAAGGATTGGCCTCCGACAAATTCTTTTGAAGAATGTTTGCCGAGGCATGGAGCTGACTTTTTTGCTATGCTTCCCTTTAGCGAATACACTCATCCTAGACGCGGTCTTCTAAATTTGGCCACTAAGCTTCCCGATACTGCCTTGAAGCCAGACTTGGGGCCTAAAACTTATATTGCTTATGGATATCCAGAAGAGCTTCGGAGAGGTGATTCTGTCACAAAATTGCACTGTGATATCTCTGATGCGGTATGCTCATTCCAATAACTGTTCGATTATTCTATTCCAGGTTCCTGTTTGAGATTTTATTTTGCTTTTATGGGGCATGCATCCCTTTCCCAAATTCTGTGCTGACATTCTAGTGCAAACTTTCGTTTGAAACCAGAAGTTGTCTGTGTTTGATTAGGCAAAGTGTATGGTCGGAGTTGTACTTTTTATGTGTACCTTATTCTGTCTTAAATGATGTTGATATATCATATAAAATCTAGAAGTTGCTAAAGTAGTGACCATGAAAAACAATGTGAAATACTGTACTTAAATTAACAGTAGTTGCCTATATGGAAACAAATCTTTTCCTTCAAACAATATACAAAAAAACTCCCGATCTTTATGAAAGAAAAAAAAATTCGATCTTTGGAATGAGAAGATCTAAAATCTAGATTAATTTTTTTTGGAAAGTAATATGTGTGCTGGTTAGGGCAGGGTTTTTTTTTTTTTGATAACCGTGGTGTCCGGGCCAACTTGCGTATACCTCTACTAATTCCACGGGTTGCCTGTTACCTCCCACCAATACAGGTATCGGGTAACTCTGTCCACCAAAGCTTGGACAGATGGGAAGAAATCATCTAATCTTTTTGTCTCCGCTGGGATTTGAACCTGAGACCTCATGGTTCTCAACCAACTTCATTGACCACTAGGCCACACCCTTGGGTGTGTTGGGGTAGAATTTTTTTAGAAAGAAAATTTTGAGAAGGAGTTGGTTTGGGCAGAATTGCAAGGAAAGAATTGAGGAAGCTGTGAAAACTATCCCTGCCTGTAATACTGTATTTACTGGGTAGCATGGATAGAAAGGAACCACAGGTGCTTTGAAGGGAGAGCTTCGACTGTACATATGCTAAACTTTAGATGCCTATTCTTCTTTCGCTCTCCGGTGTAGGATACAGAAAGCATGGAGAAGAGGATATGATATATTTTATTATCCCTTTACCAGCTTGTATCTTTTTGTACATGGAACCTCAACATTTATACAGATCTGCACTTAGACGTGATCTAACTTTCGGTAATAAAACATCTTACTTACATTTAGCCAAAAAAGGGAAAAAGGAAACAAGAAAATTTGCACTGACTTATAAATTTTTGTGACATTCTTGAAATCCCTGTTACGACATTGGTTTGAGGGCAAGCCCTAATAATGCCTTTCATGGCATTGGTAGTTGCTAGTGTTGATTGGTTGAAGTGAACATGATTTAATTGAAAAATGATAACTTGCTGTATTTTCCTATGTAGTCCAATTGACTGGCATTTGAGGCCCTCATCGCTAAAGGTGCTTCACCACTGTAGAGACCAAGTATAATGCTTCATGGGGTTTAAACAAAAAAGAACGGAGAGAAAAAGAGATTTTCGAAATGAATGATTTCATTTTCCCCTCTAATTCTATTGGGATTTAAATTGTTCTACAAATAGTCTTGGAAAAGGAAAGGATGTAATTACAAGCTATAAATCTTAATTACAAAATTATAGGGTTTCTAGATCTTTTCATGCTTACAAGGTGTGAGTTCTTGCCATATTACAAATTCTTAACACTTTCTCGAGTTGGAGCTTACATACGGTATGCTCCTATTTGTTTTTTTCTGATCTTTTTATTTTTATTTTTAACAAAGTATGTATTTACTACTTTTGCATGTAATATGAATTACAAAAGCTGATAATGCTAGTACTTTTGGTCGGCTCCATTTATTGAAGCTTCATAGAGATAGAAGTCTGTAATTGTCTTTCATAATAGGAAGGTCTGGAGGTCAAGCATTAGGGTTGTAGGTTAGGGGGTAGTAGAACTTTTCTTACTTCTTTCCGGGGGTGAGGCGGGGTTGGATTAAGGTTGGCCTTAGATGGCTTGCAGTTTATGTTGAATACACACTATACTTGCTGTTTATCTGAGCCCCGGGCCTGGTTACTGTTATTGCATGTCATCCATCTTTTGATTGTTATGCTTCTGTTACTATTACGATTTCTACTGGAGTTACTAATGAATTGTCTTTTCTTGTTTTTCTTATTTCCATCTTTCTGAGCCGAGAGTCTATCGGAAACAGCCTCTCTGCCCTATTGGGGTAGGGGTAAGGTCTGCGTACACATTACCCTCCCCAGACCCCACTTGGTGGGATTTTACTGGGTAGTTGTTGTTGTTGTTGTTAATAGGGTTCAAGAAGTGATGGAAATTTAGGGTAGAGTGACAATAGGCATCAGGTATGATGTTGAATACTACGTTAACTTTACCAATCAAAAGAAAAAAAAAGAAAAAAGAAAAAACTAAGTTTAACTTTTAGATGGGCAATGAAGTTAGACCAACATGTTTGGAGGAAAATTCCAGTATCTTGAGCCCTTTAAACTGTAGTTTCTCTTTTTGCCCCCTTTCCTTATTTCTCTTCTCAGTTAATTGATTATGTTTGCAGAAAATTATTGTCTTCAACTCCTAGGCTTTGAGAGATGTCATAGAATTTTATTCCATTTTTGGGTGGTATTGTGACCTTCTCACGACCGTGGCAGATGTGTTCCTCTAAATAGCAAAAAGCGTAAAACTCTACAGAAGGGTGTCCAGTTTGCAGGCGTTAGTGCATTTAGATACAAGCAACAACTGGATATTTGAATATCAGTTTTGCCTTTTTCTCCTTTCTTTTCCCGAAGTGGAAAGAGCAGTCTTTTTTCACTTCTCTTCGGTGTGTAGAAATTCAAACTTCACTGGTCTGCCATCAGAATCTCGGAATGGAAAAATGCTCCACCTTTTCTTTTTCTGCTTCCAAAAAATGAACTTTCTTTGTATAGAGAAATACCCAATCCATAATGTTGATATTATTTGTACAGTCATTTAGGTCAGGTTCGTCGGTCCCCGTATCAATAAAAATTGTGAATTAGCTTGTCTATTTTATTGGCATATTGGTGCACATTTTAACTTGTATATCTGCTCATCATAACACATTGCAATTTTCCTCCCATTGCTACTTTATATAATCAACCTAATATTCATTTCAAGTTTTATGTTTGTTCTTCAGGTCAACATATTGACTCATACAACCGAAGTAAATGTCGCTCATGGGCAACGTGAAATCATTGAGAAACTAAGGAAGCAACATGAGGTTGAAGATTCAAAGGAACTTTGTTCAGGCATAGCAGAGGCACTAGACTCTCAACGAAGATTTGACAAAACTGAAACAACTGATTTTAAATCACAGGGAAGCATCGACGATAACAAAAGTTGCTTGTTAGAAACTATGGACAAGGGGAAAGATTTTGATAAAGAAAAAGACATAATTTCCAATATGAAGTACACTGATATTTCTGGCAGAACTTCTCTATCCGATGAGATAAACCCAAGTACCAATACCTTTGCACTAGTAGAAGCAAGTATGGCTCTCGAAATCAAGCAAGATTGTGCAGAAGTTGAATGTGGCGGTGCGGTATGGGATATCTTTCGCAGACAAGATGTGCCCAAGTTAACAGAATACTTGCAGAAGCATTGGAGAGAATTTCGCCATATTAACAATGCTCCAGTGACTTCAGTAAGTATTCTTGCACTTTAAGTTTCAAGTTTGATGATATCACAAAGTGCTGAATCTTTGAATTCGCTCCTTGCTTTCACTCTTAGGTTATTCACCCTATCCATGACCAGACATTCTATTTGAATGAGAAGCACAAAAAACAGCTGAAGGAGGAGTTCAGTAAGAATCCTCTTTTCCTTAATTGATACTGAAAAATAGTAGGTAATGACTTTTGAAGGGTATTTAATCCCACCCCGTCTCCCTCTTGTGCTGCACAGATGTTGAGCCATGGACGTTTGAGCAGTACCTTGGTGAAGCTGTTTTTATTCCTGCAGGATGCCCACATCAAGTGAGAAATAGACAGGTGAAATTCCCGGCGTAACTATGAAGCATCAGACTTTTTATATTTCATCAGTAGCATGGTTGTTGTACCTAATTTCCTGTGTGTTTGCTATGTTATCCAATGGATTCATCTGGTTAATTCTCCTTGCTTTTAGTACAGCGTACTGCTAGTTGTTTCTATAAATGAAAGGCTAAATACCTAGATACCCCCTCAAACTTAGCACGATTTTTCAGTTAAGACACCTTAATGTTTCTTGGGACCATTTAGACACCTCTACTTGGTAGAGATGTGTCTCATGCATACCTCTGTCGGTAAGACCATGCACGTGAAACGCGATTGCTGCTGATGTGTCAACTGAATAAATCAATGAATGACACCTGTATGTGGAATAAAGAAAATGGACACATATATTTATCAAAAAAATATTACACCCTCCCTCTTTTTTCTTCTTCTTCTACCTCCTTACTTTCTTTTTTGTTCGTCCAAATCCAGCCCCCCCACCCCCCCTCCCTCTCCCAGGCACGCTCGAACGTCTTCGTGTTCAACTCCCTCTGTGTTCTTTTGTGTCCGTCAAACACCCAGAATTCCCCCCCCCCCCTTTCCCGGGCACGCTTGAACGTCTTCATGTTCAACCCCCTCTATCTTCTGTGTCCGCCAAACACCAGATTCCCCGCCCCCCCAAAAAAAATCTTTTTTCCATATTGCTATTTAGAATCTGTGAAAAATTTAAACTTATATTACATAATCCTCGTTTCTCTTTTTCCCCACAACCCATTTTGCTTTCTATTTTTAATTATTGAAGGTGGCCATGAAATAGAAGGGATGAAGAAGGAATTGATCAATTTTAAAATAGGTTAAATTTTTTTTGATGATTTGACAAAGACTTGATTGTAGGTGGTGACTGACTTTTCTAGGTGTGTGGTGGTGGTGCTAGGTGGTGATTGACTTTGTTGGTGTTTTGTTTTAACGGAAAATGGAGATGAGTTCTTTTCAGTAAATCAAAATGGAGTACTTGTGGAGGAAAAATGAAAAAGAACAAAGAAGAAAAGTGAGAGTTGTTGCTGGGTTTCTTTGTCATAGATATTGATGGAGGAAAATAACGTGGAATAAAGCCCATGGTGAAGGAAAGTGAAAAAAAGGATGATTAAAATGGGTCTGGTGTTGTATGATAATGGTGGTAGTTATGCTGGATAAGCTAGCAGCTTTGGTGTGTCAAAATGAAGATTGGAGATGCATTAAGGTTTCTTTCTTACATGGTTGAAAGTGATCAAAGAAGATGAACGAAAAGGATGAGTTCTTTTCTGTAAATCAAAATGGAGTACTTGTGGAGGAAAAATGAAAAAGAACAAAGAAGAAAAGTGAGAGTTGTTGCTGGGTTTCTTTGTCATAGATATTGATGGAGGAAAATAACGTGGAATAAAGCCCATGGTGAAGGAAAAGGAAAAAAAGAAGATAAAAACATAATTTAACTCAACTTCACGCACTCAAATTTGAGTGAAGAACACGCTATTTGCCATGTCAATGTGAGAGGTGCACAAGACGCATTTGCCTAGTTGAGGTGCTCAACTGGTCATTAGTAAAATTGACGTGTCTAACTGACACATAGTGGCAAGTTTAAGGGGCTGTCTAGGTATTTAGCCTAAGTGAAATGACTGAACGACAAATCCCTTCATGGCATCTCTGATCGCCTCTAATTTTCCCACAAAAGGCGGTGCATGCCAGCACTTAGTGGAACTATCTATTCAAACTGAGCAGAGCTAAACCCAGAGATACCTCAGTCGAATTTCACAGTGTTGTATGAGACGCTCAAGTGTGATCTTCGGCATGAGTCTACTGTGGATTTTTCATCAAAGTGCGCTTTTTGCTCGAGCTTGATTGCAGTTTATGGTTTAATAAAAGCACATTGCAATCTTGAATATTCTTAATTATTATGAATTGCAACAAGATATTATAGACAAGTTAAATGTCCAGAAGTGAAATTTAAATCAAAGGATGAAAGGCTTATTGTGGAAGTTTGTCTGGCCTCATCTTAATGATGGATATGGAGGAGGTTTTTTTCCTGTCCAGTAAGCTGTTTGGACTTTGGCCAAGCTTCCAAAATCTGCTTATTTAAAAAGTGTAGCAGTTTGTGTGTGGCTAAACAATTTGAAAAGTACTTTTGTTAGAGCACCAATTTGTGCTTGGCCAAGGTTCCAAAAGTGCTTGAGGCAAAGCTACTTTTTTCAACTTCTGAAATCTGCTACTACTCAAAAGCACACATTCCCCCCCCCCCCCCCCCCCCTAAAATCTTGGCCAAAAAAACCTCAACTCTCTAAAATAAGCACTTTTGGCATTCCAGAAGCTTGGCCGAATAGGCTGTAAGTCATGTTGAGGTTGTCTGATGCAGCCTCCCTAACTGCAAACACCCAAGCTGGGAAGACCATTGAGCTGTGTGTTCAATGAGGTTGTGTGGTGGCTTATGTGGAGAAGCATGAATGTCGTAACGGGCTAATGAGCAGGTACCCTTTTGCAATTTGTCTGATGCCTGGTGAATACTTTGTTTATGTGGTCTATGAGAGCAGAAGAAATAAGCTGGATTGGTGGTGCAGTAGACTGATAAATGTGGAAGACCAGGCAGAGTAAGAGAGAATGCTGCATCTTTCCTAGGTCCAATAGTGATCACAGTTTAAATTGACAAGGAGAATATTAAAGTATTAGAGCCTTCAGTATATTGACCCACTGAGCATCATTGTGTTCAGACAGATTGTTAAAAGTTTATGATTCGAAGCATACCTTTCATGGGCGCCAAAACGTGAAATTTTGGTACTGGAGCTAATATCACAATATCTATCAATTTTATGCAAAAGGGAACATGTTTCAGAATATCAAATCCTGTTATAGTTTGACAATGCACAATGATTTTTTTTGTTTTGTTTTCGACAATGGACGATGATGTTGAGACGGTATTTTTTTTTGAAAATGGTAACATGATATTACAACTAGTACATTATTGCTATAATAATAGGGTTTTGAGTTTGATTCATTACTTTGAGGCAAATGTCTGTTATTCTTTGTCTGAGGTTGATAATCTAAGGAGCCTTGTAATTGAAGCAAACCCAAGCTCTCTCCTTCTGGAATTTGATATAGGCTGAATCTGACTTTGGCTAGAACAGTTTTTCAGGAGTGCCTTTGTACTGTAGCTCTTCGTAGGTCATTGCAGTTTCTTTCTTTCTCCAACAGGTTCAGGAATTAATACTATTTGAAGTCACTTATACAAATATTAGTGCTATATGAGATAATATCTGCAATATTTCATTTTCCTGATACTTTTGTTGGTAAATTATTAATATTGCTGCTTCCATCTGTGTTCACATGCTAATGTACTGATCTTGGTATTGATTCTGTCGTTGATCTACTGCTATACAGTCATGTATCAAGGTTGCTGTTGACTTTGTATCCCCTGAAAATGTTCAAGAATGTATTCGCTTGACGGAGGAGTTTCGCTTGCTCCCCAAAACCCACCGATCTAAGCAAGATATATTGGAGGTATATTCATTATTGGCATATTACGGGTGGTCTGACTTCAACGGTTTCTTTCTACCACTATGCATTAATAAATCACAGGAAGATACCTCTGTCTGCTAATGAAGATTATGACCGAGTATTAGTAGAATCAGAACCCAATTCAAATACCAGTGATGCTATGGGGATATTATCCCGAAGCTTTTCCGAAACGTATACCTTCCATTTTTACACTCTATCCTTTTCTTTTCCTTTAAAAATGGATTTGCAGAAGAGTTGTAAATATAGGAAGTATTTTCCCTGTATACGCTGACTTGTAATTCATGTGACTTTAAGAAGTGGACTTTATTTGAAAATTTCAGTAGATGTCTTTAATACGTGTCCCATTATACGTTCCATATTATAGCTTCTTCAAATTATTGGACAGTAAATTCCTTTGCTGAAGAAAATAGGGGACATTTGCTAGCAATTGTAAGAAGGATTATTAATCTCTTCAATTAATTAAGTGCAGGTGGTATACTGATCATCAGGGGAAGCTGTCTGATATTGAGAATCTTTTGCTAGCTAGGACTTGCTTTTCATGGCCAAATGACGGACACTTAATATCATGTGTGTGTGTGTGTGTGTGTGCATATATATAGTCTAAAGCTTAAGCATTGCAGTTACAGCTGGTGCCATGTTTTCGAGTTTTATTTCGTTTTTCTCCCTTTTTTGGTTGGTACAATCTTCATCAGCTGGACCTTTAGGTGTTCTGTGACTGTAAGTTTGACCTGGGTTGAGAATCAAATTTGACATTTTGCACTTGGATGATTCAAACTCAAGAGATGTCCATCCCTTATTCTTTTCCCTGTATTTATGGCGGCAACACATGGGCATTAATGATTGTGACATTTCTGTTAGTTCTTTCTGGTTTTCTAGATTTACATTTGGCACTTAGTAGCTCAGAGTCAGTGATAGGTATCTCTTACTGCATACTATGTTGCTGCTCCCTGGCATGAAACTCGAAAATATAACGAAAATTACTTTTTGATCACTAACATAAGCTTGAAAAATGTGATGAATCATGCTCTGTAGATGTCCTAATATTGTTAATGATTGTTTGATATCTTTATAGGTGAAGAAGTTGGGGCTTTATGCTGCCAGTGTTGCTATTAATGAAGCCACAAATCTGATGTCGAAATTTAAGTAAGCTTTTTGTTATTTGGTCATGTTATTCATTGTTTTTGCATGTTTCTTGTGAAATGAAAAATACCAGTGTGATCGATTACTGAATTATGACAAAATTCTGGACTTAACTAGGTTTTATATTTACAAGCCTTTCATGAAAGAAAGATGTCATCTTTTACCTAAAAAAGAAGTCAAAATAGCACGGTATAGCCAGTTTTCGGACTGGTCATTCAAAAGTAGCCAGCGTTTACCAAGTCAATGAAAAATAGCCACTATTTTGCTGCAACAGAGACCGGTCCAGCATAATATACTGGAGTTCGGTGCACCTGTGTATGAACTCTAGCATATTATGCTGCACCGGTATACCTTGCTGGCTCCAGTATAATATACTGGAGACTGGAGCACCGGTGCTCCAAACTCCAGTATATTATGTTGTACCGGTATACTTGCTGGAACTCCAGTATATTATGCTGGAGTTCTAGTGTACTTATGCTGGAACTCCATCATATTATGCTGGAGTTCCAGCATACTTATCCTGGAACTCCAGTATAATATGCTGGAGTTCAAGTATACTCGTATTTTTCCGGATTTTGAACAGTGTTTTCGCTCAGATTTATCTTTACATGAAAAGTGGCTAAATTTCGATTACTTTTGAAACTGGGCTATTTTTGAACGACCAGTTGTAAATCTGGCTATTTTTGAATTTAAATAGCACGGTATAACTAGTTTTCGGACTGGTCATTCAAAAATAGCCAGCGTTTACCAAGTCAATGAAAAATAGCCACTATTTTCTACAACAGAGACCGGTCCAACATAATATACTGGAGTTCGGTGCACCTGTGTATGAACTCCAGCATATTATGCTGCACCGGTATACTTTGCTGGCTCCAGTATAATATACTGGAGACTGGAGCACCGGTGCTTCAAACTCCAGTATATTATGCTGGACCGGTATACTTGCTGGAACTCCAGTATATTATGCTGGAGTTCTAGTGTACTTATGCTGGAACTCCATCATATTATGCTGGAGTTCCAGCATACTTATCCTGGAACTCCAGTATAATATGCTGGAGTTCAAGTATACTTATGCTGGAACTCCAGCATAATATACTGGCGTATTTTTCCGGGTTTTGAACAGTGTTTTCGCTCAGATTTATCTTTACATGAAAAGTGGCTAAATTTCGATTACTTTTGAAACTGGGCTATTTTTTAACGACCAGTTGTAAATCTGGCTATTTTTGAAAAGATGTCATCCAGATTAATCTTTCAAAGATTTCCTCAAGATGGTGGATAATAAATGCAAACTTGATTTTCTTGTGATTGTTATGAGTATAAGCAATACTACCTGTAGTGGTTGTAGCATAGAAACAAGTCAACAACAACCTTCAGATTCCAGGGTCGAATTTCAGCTACAAAACTAGGTGTGAAGCTCATCTGCTCCAGCCTTAGTAAGCTGCATCACACTTGGCAATATGTACTTGTCGGCTAGACAAGCTGCCAGGTCTATTGGCTGAGGTGCATGCAAGCTGGTCCCCTACCACCAAATCTTGTAAAAGGTCAACAATATAAACTGGTAATTGTTTCTTAAATGTCAGCTGGAATCACACTACCAAAAGACAAGATGTAAGTCTATTCTGACGACTTGGACAAACCTATTTGCTGAAAATGATGCATATTCAAAGAAGAAATGAACTAAATTATCACTTTGAAAAGTAGTTCAGTGCCAATAAAAGTTCAAAAAAATTTACCCAGATTTCTTCCCAAAATTTCTGCTCCCTCTTTGTGGTACTTTCATCCTAGTTTCAGTCTAATGCTTACATTCCTCAACTGGTTTTGGCCAACTGTTGTTAGGGATTTAATCAGTCTAAGTCTAACTACTTCGACAGCTCAGCTAGTTTAGGTGAAATTAGATGTTCACACTATAAGCCACGAGCATCTCCTGAATGATAATTGATAATGATGAACTTCCAATTGGAGCTCTAAGCGGACACCTTTAATGATAGTGATCCAAGGGTTCGTGGAACTACAATGTCTAGGGCGATAGGAATGTCAAGAGACAAGGTTTAAGTTCACAAAAAGGATGAATATAATCAAAGCGTCGGCCAAATGTTGGCCTTGGGTTGACCTGATCATTGTGTTATTGATACTGAAATATGATGTTCTCTTGCATTTTGCCCAAACATCAGTAAAATGATATTTGTTTTTCTTCAACATAGTGGCCAACCCTAAGAACTATTGCCTTTTTCACAGCTGGTATGTGTCTTTAGCTGATGTTCACATTTGAAGACATCCCCTGCCCCGGCATTTCTTGTGGTTAATGAGTTGATCTGAGGCATATTAAAATTTGACTCTTTAATATTCACACTCCTGAAATGAGCAACTTTGTGTTTCATCTGGCAGTACTCAATCTTGTGATGAATTGCAACAGCAAGAACAAGCTGCTGAAACTGGGAGCTCCATTGCAGAAGGCCTAGGTGGGAGTCCATCAGCTATAGTAACCAAGAGTTGAGGCTTATCTTATTTTAATATGATGGTTTGCAAGTTGTATAGTATATTGTATTTGATTCCCATCATTTGGTTGCATTACAAGGCATGTCTATTTTTATATAGTACTTGTTTTTCGTCTTTGTAGAAATAATGCCAGGCGTTTCTTTGAAATGTCTTCATGGCTCATTGAAGCTTGTAACGAATTCACTTTCACAGGAAATGCAGAGTAGGAAGAGTCACATTGATGTTTAATCCAAGTGGAAATATTACAATTCTACTGTATTGACTGCATCCCGTCTCCTCCCATTTGCTCCAGCTATGAAAGAAAAGAATAGATGCAACATTTTTTTCTGTTCTACCGCTCTTTGTTTACT